GACCTGTCAATGAACCTTGTGTAAAAAAACAATATGTACTACAAGCAGCATTGCCACCAAATGAACATATACGATCCATGACATTTTTCTCCTTGTGTTTAATAGACACTATGTAAAATAAAATTTTTCTAATTTTCAAACTAATAATAAAAGAGATTTACTTGATGTGCTGCTGATCAACATTATTAAGAAAACGATAAGAATATCAAATTTTGATATCATAGTGATTCTCTTTGAACTTTAATAGATTCGTATAGCTTAGAATTTAAAATATATATGTATGCACACACTAGATTCTACGTATTGTCATCAATCAGTTTCTTAATTGGATCACGATTCAACCGTTCGTATTCAAGGTTGTTAATATTATATTGCATGACGGCGACATCCGTTGGATTTGTATATCCGTTATCAAGATGAAGTAAAGAAAGATTTTCTGTCGATTTTTTTGGGATTAGTATGCGGTCAAAGATCAATGAATCATTCAATTAATAACAAACTTTATACGTTTAGAGACGCTAACTTGAGACACTCTTTTTTTTAGCTGCATATTAAAAAGTTTCTATCATTACAATAATTAAACGCATAATGATGGTGCTCTTTTATTGAGATCTATTGTAAATTTCACGATTCAACTCATTTTTAACACAACGTTTGTGATAGAATTGCTACAGTTGCGTTGTTCAGAAGATATTTTTAGTTGTGGCATACTTTTCAAGAAAAATTAACAAAATCATTCGAAAGACAATATGTTTTTTCTATTGAAAGCATAAAAGAATGATATCTGGCTTATTATAAAAATACATGGTACATCAGTTGTTGCTATTGATTAATGGTTTTTCATATATGTTGTCTGATCTGACTGCGTACTAGATTAGCTTTGAATTTGAAGTGCTTTTATTAGTCTTTTAAAGAGAATTTGATAAATTATGTTTTGATCTACTTCACGACCGAACTACTTGACAAGGTTTTTATTGATTTTGAAGAATAGGTTACCTAACCTAAGGTTTTCAAAACAAAAAAAATGTAAGGAAAACAGTATGTTGAAAGAGCTTATTTGATGTTGTTTCATATTGAGTATTCTTCTTGATCAAAATTAATCTTAGAAAACTTTTTACTATGTTTTTTGAAGTTCACACTAGTTTCTTTCAATCGAAAAAAGAATAAACTTTCAATGATATTTCTAAGCGAAGAATCATAGGTCGAAATTTCAAGAATTACTTTTGCATCATAAGTTAGAATTTTAGTGTTTGATTATATAAACGTATAGTTCTAGTATATTCGTTTTATTTCAATATAAAATTAATAACGAAATAAAATCGTGGGCATACATAATGAAACTATGATTGTGGTCCCCGATTTCATGAATCTCTGACAGACACTCGTCCGAAAGCTCAGAATAATAGTATGAATCTGGAAACAGAAATTCAATGATCGGGTTTTTTCTAGTTTTGAGCAGAGTCGAGCGCCCTATCTTTTGACCTCTCCTTGAAAGAACAAAGAAAAATCTGTCCTTGACGAGTATACAATCGACCAGTGCGTATAATGGCAAGTGTGCCAAGCACAAGAAAAATGTACACATTTATTTTTACTGAATAAAATAATAATCTTTTTCCACAAGATGATTATGCATGTTTTTTATCGATAAAATATTAAATTTCACTTACTCTATTTTTATTTTGAGAAAAGGTTACTTTTTCTTTATCTTCCAAGCTTTTCTTGATTATATCAGTGAAAAAAAAAAGAGTGCTTCTACGTGAAACACACTTCTACGGCCACATGTAGTGCAGTGTTTGCGTAAGAGTGTATGCAAAATGTAGAAGAATTGAAAAAATAACGACACAAATTTATTTTTTCACTTATCACCTTATTTTGATTAATGAACCGATATTGTTGTCAAAATAAAGCAGATTATTCAGGCTTCATTTTTCTTTAATGTCTTCTTTATACATCTTTTTAATAGTGCATTGTGACAAACTTTTTTTTTAACAAAAAGACATTTTTTTTTTCATTTCACTTAGAAACTCTATTGAGATGTTGTTAAAACCAATGCCTTAATTTCAGTTGATTAGAAGAATTTAACATCAAAAACAATCTATAGACCTTTCCAAAAATTGCTTCCTAAAACTTTTCTCGTTTCATTCCACTTTGAATTGGACTTCATTGAATAATTTCTTTTATATAATAGATAAATACACGAAGTTTTTATTTCTACAGACAAACTTCAAAAGCATTATTAAAACCTAAGATCTTTAGCCAAAGCAAAAAAAAATTCGCCTGTTTTCTCTTTGCAGAAACCTGTCCGTAGAAATAAAAACTGTGTATTTGTCTATTATTAACAATAGTTATTCGATCAAACCCAGTCAATAGTGAAATAAAGCCAAAAACCTTTCATAAAAGAACTTTTAGTACATCAGTAATGTATATCAGCCTTGACATAATGATTCATTCATTTGCGATAATAGTCTAAACGCCAGTAGAAAAGTTTCGACCCCAGCCAGTAAATCGATGGTATCTATGACAAACGTATATATGTTTAATTGATTGAAATAATTAATTCGGTAGAGAAAGGTTAGAAATATTATTTGAAGCAAAGACTCTTCGAAATTTATAGTGAAAAGTTTTTTTTACTATAGTTATATGTTTTTGTGCTTACAGAGACTGTTTCATCAGATTTATCATTTTAATCCAATAATATTTATCGTATTTGCTGAATATGTTTACAGTTTTATAACACTTCATATTGACGGTCTTATTTTATGAATTTCTAATTTATTCTCGAACGTGTCAATTGCTTCAATTTATTTTTCTGATAGTTTTATTAAGAAAACTATTATATTCATTTCAAAGCTAAATATGTGATATATAGCTCATAGAAAACTGATGAGGTTTCATTTGACAAGATTTAAGTAGATAAAAGTTTAATTTATTATAGGATGTCAAACAGTAGAATCATTTTTGAGTCTAGAAAAATGTAAAACAATGACTAACAATATTTCAAAAAAACTTGAAAACAATGCTAACATATTAAAAGATTTGATTATACAGAATATTAATCTGATAGACCTATAAATCATTTTAGACATTTTATTACAAAAGAATTTTGTTAAAAAATGGAAGATGAAAATATTTACTCTAGATTGATAAAATAACCATTACATTTTACTACAAGATATCTTATTTTAGATGATAGTTCTAATCATCGTTCTATAAAATTATATATCTTCATCATCGAACAAAAAACCTATTAGCTCACTTCTTTGAAACAATAAGCGTAAATTCACGAAAGATGACGCACACTACTATACGAATAATGGCATCATAAATATTCGAATATATTTATGTTATACGAAAAAATCAAGGCGAAGAATGCCATTTTTATCCATCCGATTGCCGAGGACTATGATTATGCCGAACGGGAGGCAGAAAATATATCTTTGACAATAAATTCGTTTAAGAAATTTACTCGAACTTGATGTATAAGGTATAAAAATCGATGAAGCTCAACGAGTTCTATTTGAAGGAGTTCGTAGACAAATCATCAAGAAGAGTTTTATGGAACCTTAAGTTTTATGTTTGTTGTCGTTTTTGAGTTATTAGAGTTTCCATAGAGTGAAGAGGTCATTTTGGACATGGATCATATCGAGCTAATCGAGATCGAAGATATCCAATATGTTGATTACGAATCTTGCTTGAAAACAGATTTTTATTGTTCTTTTGAAAACTTGATTGTTTTTTTGCCTTCTTTCCTAAGAAAAAGAGAGAAGAAAATGTTTATCTTTGTTTTAAAACGACGCAAATTTTTGTTATGTACATATCATAAGACAATAGTACGAAAAAACAAAAGTTCACAACAACAAAATACAATTGAAAACAAAAAAGTAATAATAAATCAGCCAAGTACAAAAATATGACTTTGTATACAATGAAAACAGTGTTCGTTTGTGGTTGTAAACGATAAGAATATGACAAAAATACTATAAATATATGACCATCGTATTTTATCGTATTTTTGTTGTTAACGATCATTGTGTTGTTCGATTTGGGTACTTCTATTTTTAACTAGGTAATATTATTCCGAGAAACTAAAAATCATAAAAATAAATAAAAGTACAATGTTGGTTGCCCACGCAAAAAAAATATCCAATAGACACATTTAATCCATCATTATCTGCAGTCATCGACGAATTTATAAAAAGAAAAAGACGCAAAATCATATTATTTATTATCTGCATATTTTCAGAATTTAAAATCGCAATCGATCGATAAAAACAATATTCAATTACTTTGTGTTTTATTATATTTTTACAGCCGATCTGAAAAATTGTATTTTAAAATGAGACTTCTAATATTAATCGTTTTTTTCTTCTTCACGTTCATGATTTATCATAGTCATTTAAAGGACTCATTAGAAAGAGCAGAAGATAAATTAGACAAATTACTAAAGTTGGTTTTCTCTGTTCTACATTTTGTTACATAATCTCTTTTTAGAAAAAAATTGATTCCATTTGTTTCTGTAGATGTTAGTGCATAAATGATGTGCCCAGGACTCTGAAAAAATACTGAGCTTGAGTACTTCGGTTAGTATTCATATTTTGATTTAACATGAAATTTCTTGAATATCCGTACGCATAATTTGAATGTTCATGCTGAAGAGTCCTAGTTGTTAGATGAGTATTTTCATCAGAGGTGTGATATACATTGATTAAGACCCATAAATCAATGCTCAATCAATTGCAATGAAACGAATTTTATAGTAATTGAGATTACAAGCAACAAAAACCTATTGTATTTTTTTCGTCATTTTCTTTTCTTTGGTATAATTGTATGTAACGAAAACATCCTAATTTATAAAATTCATACTAGTCATGTTGAATGGCATCTTTAAATTCAAACAATTTATATAGATTATAAAGTAATCATTTTTATTTCAAAAAGAATCAACAAAATTAAAGTATAATCGAATATACACACAAAAAAAAGGTATAAAAAAGACAAGTTTATTGTTCTTTGATATATTTTCGAATAGCTGGTGCAAGCTGACGACGTGCTGATAAAAGACCAGTATTTGGATAAGCATAACCATATAAATTTCGAAAATAATCTTGATAAAAACGATTAGATACTAGAAGAGGCTCATTGTATGCACTCTTAGAAATAGGAAGAAGATAACGTAAAGGCATTTGTTCTGAAAACGCCTCATTTCCTACAACAGCTGCTTGCATTCGAGGTGTTGCCATAAATTTGACAAAAGCTTGTGCAGCTGCTAACTTATTCGCAGGTAGATTACGTCGAAATACATAAGCATCAGTAAAAAAAACAGGTCGTTTAGCACCGGTTCCTAATGGTAATGGTTGTATTTTTACATCGGCAACATTATTTGATGAACCCTCTTTTAAAATATGAAACAATCTTTCAGAATAACCAAACATAGCTCGAGCGGCATAAGTGCCAAATAATTTTGCAGGCTCATCATAATTCTCCTCAAATCTTCCATCTACACAGTCATTAACACCTTCATCTGATTCACAAAGTTTAGCAAGCTTACGCATCGGTTCGAATGATAAATGTTCATATCCATGAAGAGCTTCTGCTTCTGTATAAAATGTCGAATGAAATATATCTCGTTGACTATCGATCCATATAGCACTTATATCCCAACTAGAATTAAGATTTCCTACAAGACGATGGGATCCGTATGTCAAATTAGGTATATTGTAAACATAATATGAATTATTTAGATATCGTTCAAGTTCCTCTAGTGACAAAAACTCTCTCTTATCTGCTGGGTTTCCGTGAGTAAAAAGAAAATAAGCACACATAAGATGAGGAAAAGCATATACTGCCTGATTTATTTGTACTGCTGCACCAGCTGCTGGATGCCAATCCGATGGAATTTGATCTGGCAAAATAGGATAAGTTTGTGGAGTTATAAGACCAGCAGCAACAAGATCACCTAAAATCACAGTATCAATTTCTACAACATCATACCCCGAATCATTGCCTATCAAGAAATCTTCAAGCAATGTCAGATTGAAAAAAATCTTCTAGCGTGTTCATTGGACGTAAAATAAGATAGATACCAGGATGAGCAGCATTAAATTCATTTTGAATGAATTGAAGCAAATGATTATTATTCTCGTTCCATGGATCAGGCATATATGGAAATGGAGCAACACTAAGAATTGTATGATAATGTAATGCTCGATGTTGTGGGAATTTATTGAAAGTTATATTTTCCGCTACCATTGGTGCCATTTTTGAATAACGTTTCATTTCTATCATATGGAAATGAATCAGGAATATAACCATTAATATTCCAAGAACTTTGTTTTGATTTATAATCATTTGTTTTAATCGAACAATTATAAAGATTTGTTGAAAACAACTTTAGTAAAATACATGACAAAGTCTTCCCTTTTTATACTTGAATTTTTGATTGTTTCAATATATTTTCTTAATCATTGTAATAAATAGTACTCGATGTTATTGATATGAATGACTTACTATTCTTAGAGATTATTTAAATCAAATTGTCAACTTTATCTTGTATATATCATAAATTTTTATTTTATCTCGGTACATTTTCTCACAGGTAAATGTAATTGAAAACTTTGCGGTTAGTAAAAATTCATGAAAAATAAAATTTATCAAGATCTTATTGACAAAAATACTACGATTCAAGAACCATCAATAATTGTGGACTTAGATGCAACCCAATGATTTTGTTTTTTCTTTGTTGATTTTAAGAAAAAGAAAATATTGATATTAGCAGGTTTGAAAATAAAATAATTGATTAAAAATCATAAAATCTTTCTTCAAAGTGACATTTATTATGTTATTTATTTGCAGATCAAATGATTGTTAGTGAAATCATAAAATATCTTTCGAAAACATACGAGATTGTTCTCAAAATTTCGAGAGAAAAACTTGTCAGTAAACTTTTATGATTATTTATTCTTCTATTTGTTTTTTTATCTTCTTCTTGTTTATTATAAGTTCATTTGAATTCTTAAAATGTATCACATTATAAGAATATGAACTTGCTAGGATCAATATAAAACAAAAAACGAAACAAACAATCGAGCACACATATCCAACAAAACAAATAAAAGTGTAGAAATGTGTTACAATTACACAAAGAACACTATGTTAAGTTAGATAAATCATTGCTCAGCAAAAAAAAAACATGAATATATAATCAAAGAGATGTTTCCTTTTTTTTTTATCTCTAAAAAATAGAATAATACAAACAAAAAACAAACGTTAAAAATTTTCATTTATGTAAACCACATCATATTTTTAACATTTTTATTAACCATAATTAGATTACTTTTGATATCTTCTAACGTAAGATCATCTTCATCTCTACAAAAGAAAAACATTGTTTTTTTTTTTCATGAAAGTAAAATAAATAATTGTATTTTACTGTGTAGTATTTCGATTTGAATGATGTTGTGATGTTGTTTGATATGGTTCTTTTTCAAAATATCTTGCATGATAGGCAACTGTATGAGCATAACGAGCAGCTGCTGGACATTTTACAGCTTTTGTACATCGTACATCAGTATGACAAAGCTAATAATAGATACAATATTCTTTTTTTTTTTTTCTTTTCAAATTAAAATTTATTTTCTTTACCCAAAAAGTTAATTGTTGTAATTCATCACTAGTAAATCCGATTTCATTATACAAAACATGATAGTAGGAGCAAACATTGGTACCAAGTGCACCAGCATGAGAATTAAGATAAAAATCAAATTGACGTGGATGTACAATAGTTGTATCAATAACTGTTCCAGCAGCCATATTTGTTATACGTTGACCATCATAAGCAAAAAAACGTGTATTATGTGATTTTTTTATTATAACAAATGTTATTTTTGGTAATGGACGATTACCATATACCTCTATATTAAAAAAAGTTTTCGAATTTTACTTTAAAAAAATAAGAATATTTATTTACCTAAACAAGCATTTTTAAGTGCTTGAACTTCATTATCAAGTATCTTTTGAAAATGTCCTTCATCTAAAATTGAAAATAATTAAAAAAACTATTAGTACAAGACTTGATCGTATATTAACAATGTCTGATGTGATCTGTTACGATTTTGTAAGGTAGGGCGTTGGAATTGTAGCGAACTACAATTTTGCGAAAAATTGCGACTAACCTCCCCCTCAAATGTTGATGGCTTCGAGCCATTACTATCTGTCTCTATATTTCAACAAAAAAAAAAGAAAAATTCTTATTTCTTACCAACACCATCACGATAAACAACAATTTTAGTTGGATATTGTTTATTTGTTTGTACAAATACATGTAAAAGATCACGTGTCATAGGTTGAAAATCTTTAATAACTTCTAATGAATATTTTTTATCTTTTACTGGTCGTTGTTCACTTGAACGACATATATATTGTGTTGATGTTGGTGATACACTTGCAACAACAGCTGCTATTGATGGTTTACGTTCAGATACAACAACATGTGAGACATCAGCACCAATAAACATAAAAACATCACCATTCAATTTTGATTGATCGACAAAAATTTTTTTAAATGATACTGTTGAATTAATACCACCTAAACGTGCATTAATTTTTTGAGCAACATTTTCAATATAAGCATTCTAAATATTTTTTTTACATAAAGCAAAATATTTTATGAAGTCACAAAAAAAGAAAACTTACAAGTTTGCCAGGATTATTTTGCTTTCGAATTGAACCTAAATCACAACCTATGAAATATAGAGTAGAAAATTTTATTTAATTAAAATGACGAAAAATATAAACTTACAAAGCGTAATAATACCAAACTCTTGTAATGCACAACGTTTTATAGTTTGATATGATTCAGGACAATCACCGATTAATACAAATAAACCAAATTCAGCACCACTAGCATGTAAATCATGAACACATTGACGAATTTGATTATGAGAAATGATTTTCGTTTCAAAATGAGGATTCATTTGAATTCCGTAACGACGTGTCGTCTAGAAAAATTCAGTAAAATAAAATAGAATCTTTTAATTCACACGAACTAATACTTTCTAACCTAAGAATTATTCAGAGTTATATATCTATAAACTTATGTTCTTCATTCCATCCCGATTCTGAATACTTTTCAACTTCTAATGTATCCTCTGCATTTTTGATTTCATGAATATATGTGTCTGTCGAAATCTTGTTATTATCTCATTCTAAAAACTTGTCAGAATAATTAAATATTCTAGTTTTTTAGTCTGAACTAAACATAGGAATGTTTAGTGTTAGTGTTAATAGTGAAACACTGACTTCACTGATATGCTCTTCAGTCGCGACTATGTGTATTGAATAGACTCAAATAAGCAATAAATACCTTGAAAACAGTTCGTGGCATTAACTTATTATTGCCAAGATACTGTGTTTTATACGGTATTTTGTTAAATAAATGCTATGGTAGCAGAAAAATTAAGTTTCAAATTTCGACTTGAAACTTTCTACGGAAACAGATCTTAATGACATCTGAAGCTACTCTCGTTAAAGCTTGTTATTATGCAAAGTTTCTAATAGATATTCTGAAATCAGTTTTTCTACTACCACGGCATTCATTAAAAGAACATCACGAAAATGTAATATCTCACCAATACTAAGCTAATAGTTTAAAATATTCAAAACTCATTTGAATCTACATAATTCATATAGTGTTTCATCATAGATGTTTATGATGACGCTGTCCTGACAGTCACCGATTTACAGTCTTGATAGATGTTTCTATTATCAATAGACTAAATCGAAATGACTTACTTCTGGTAACATATTACAAAATTCATCTAATTTTTGCATATCCATATGTCCTGGTTCACGTTTTCCATCTTTAACTAAAATCATTTCCCACTAAAAAAAAAAAATTCAAAATTCATTATCTGATCAATATTAAAAAAGAAACGTTTTTTTGATTACTTTATGAACACGTGTAGCTTGTTGTAATTGATTTCCTTTCATAAGCCATTTACCAATAGTAACTGAAACAACACGATTATTTCGATAAACAATATTAGGTGGATCAAGTACGCGTGCTTTAATTTGTAACATTTCATTCGTATCAATAGTCATTGATAAATGTTTTAAATATGGATCATTATTAAAATTTCTTTCACGAGCTATTGCCATTGTTTTATTAAAACGTATTTCAGGTAACAAAATTGAAAGTTTAGATTTTTCAGCATTTTGTTCTGATGTCATTAAAGATCGATCAACTATTTGCCATTCTTCAACAAAACATAATTCAATTGGTATATAAGATGAATTTTGTGCTCCTTTATTAACACATTCAAGTGTTGGTAAACGTGGATATTTTAATTTAATGTGATATTTTTCAGCAAGAAATTGTGTTACAGACATTTTACGTGAATCACCATCAGGTCCATCTAATGTTACTGGATGACAATCAGCACTATCACCAAAACCTCGAATATTATAAACCACTGAATAAAAGACAAATAAGAGAATAACATTTAAAGAAAAAAAAAAACATTTTTTTTTTCCATGTTTTACTTTTATTATTTGTATGTCGAGTTTCAATAGTAATTATTTCCAAACATTTCATTCTTAATAATGCACGTTTTTCATCATGAGACATTATACCTCCATTCATGGTTATATCTCGTCCAAGATAAATTGATATGAAATGAAGCATATCAATATTACGATAAAAACATGAACATTTTGTATCAATTGTTAATGTTGGTCCAGCTTGTGTAACAAACATAGCTTGATAAAAACCTTGAGCTAAGGCAAAACCACTATTTTGAAATGATCCTTTAAACACAAGACGTATATAATGTTATTTTCAAAAAAATTAAAAAGAATTGAATACGAACCACCATCATATAATGTTTGATTTTTTTCAAAAAATTGATTACGAATACAAACCATACGTGAACGTATGGTTTGTTTAAGTAATGTTTCAAGCATACGTATTAAATCTTGAGGACGTTTATATGGTGTTTTACTTCGAACAAATTGCCACATATCTTCAACTGTAACACGATCTGACATATCTTTTATAGCTAATTGATATAATTGATTTTTTATTGTTATTTCATAAGTTTTAGCTTTATCAAGTAATAATTCACGGGAATAAAGAAAATTACCATCATCAAACCTAATTAAACAAGAAAATTTATTATTCAAATATAATTTCCAGAACAAAGTTTGGTAGGCTGAAAGTTCTTTTGAATAATTAAAGGAAGTCATCAGGAAGTATTAAATATTTGGTTAGAATTAAAATTAAGTCAGAAATAGCCTTTAACAGTTGAAAAACGTTTTATAGATACGTCGTTTTTATCTGATAAAACTTGTTATGCATAGAGTTTCAGATCAGAATTCGATAGCCTAGTCAAATATCAATAGCAAATCAAATCTTTTTACAGTTGTTATTAGAACACTATACAATATCTATAGTCAACAAATAATAGACGTAATAGAAAGTATCTGAAAAAGTTCATTTATGAGTTCGAAAATTCAAGATTTGGAGCTTAGCAATAAGCTGATAGGTAAATGGCTCTTTTTTCTATAGTATATGTAGGTATATCACATATTCATCTTTAAGAAACCTAACAAATATGATATTTTTTGAAGTCATTCTTATTAATCGATTACTACTAACTGTTTTTTTCCTAAGTGCATCAAACCTCTGATCCTGAACGGCTTATTAAGGATCAAAACCTGTCCAAAATTTATTTTCAAGTCTTTTAACAATCTATTCACAACTGATCTCCCTAATCAATCGAAAAATGAAGGAACGATTTTGTCTACAAACTTTCGATGCACCCGTTATTATACGTAATAAAATCGGGAAATAAACTACTCAAGTTATTCTCTATTGTGGCCATATAGAATAAATGCGAAATGTATTTTTTATTATTTACCATACAAAAGGTAGATTATCAGCTTCTCGTTCAAGAATTTTTTGAACTATTTCAAAACGATTATGTTGACGTTTATTTGCATTACACCATTTACCACGTTTAAATACATTAACATGAACAGTATATTGATTCTATAAGAAAATAAAAACAAATTATTTCTTTATAGTTTTTTTGTTTTCTTAATAAAATAATACATACAATAGCAAGATTATCAGGTAAATTACATTTAAAATGATTTGTATAAAGCGTAATACATTGTCCTTTGCTACCACCAGAATCTGGTCGAGAACAAATAGGGATTTGATCTTGTTGTAATCGATCTGGTACAACAGATCGAATAGCATTAACTGATGGTGGACGATTATCATGAGGTTTATCCGAATGACGAGGTTCTGCGGAACGATTACGTATTCGAGTACCATTTATATGATTATAATTTTCAAATGAAACTTTACTAATACGATTACATACATCTCCAACTGATACTGGTGATAATGTACGACGATAATAATGATGATGATGTGTATTTGGTGTTATATAAGATAATGATGATGATGATGATGAACCAATATCTTTATGACGTGTATCATAACGAGCTAGAAATATATATGTTATTTAAAATGAATAATGAAATACGAACAGAAATATACGTACGTTTTCGTGGACGTTCACGATTTGCACCACTATTAGTGGAAGATGTATAATGATAAGAGGCTGCTGACATTTAAAATCTGATAATAAAAATGAAAATGAAAGCAATAAGAGAGAGCGAGAAAGAAAGAATACAAAACGCATGTATATCTATCTAATATATTCGTGTTAAATAGTTCGTTCGAACGAACAAATGAATAGCATTATAAAGAAAATATAATTTCATTTATCGAGGGACCGTTTGAATGCCTTCTACTATTGACTAACCGATTTTCTTGCATAAGTTTTCAGATTCTTGGCGACATCTCTTTTTTAATGATGATATCAAAATTTTGTTTTTTAGATAAAATTCGTATCTAATTATTATTTCTGTTGAAACATTAAAAATATATTGGATAAATGTTTTCGATCGAATATCATTAAATTTAAGGTATTATAATTATACATAAAATCGTGTTTTATCGAGATTTTCTGTTTCGGAAAGCTTTTAAATAAGATGTTTGTTCACTTTTGACGTATTTCTGGCAAGCCGAAAGCTATAGTTTTGTAGTCTCTGCAAATATGGACTTAGAAAATTCGCTCGACAGTAATGAAATAATTCCAAAAAAATGAGTTTGGATGAAAAACTGTTGTATTTTCATTTTTGTGATTCGAAACTAAAAGTTAGGATCTTTATTTTTACATCAGATTCTTTGAAGAAGCTCAATGCTCATGTTAGACAAAACACTAATCTTAGGAATGCTAAATCTATCGATGAAACACAGGTACTATTATCGACATTTGGTATTAAGACACAGTGTTATCTCATTATTACTTAAAAATGCAAGTCGGGTTTTGCACTTATCATATTCATTTAGATGAACTTCAACAAAAAAGGCTCAAAAACTATCTAACTGAAGCATTGAAATAAACTCTCATCATCCTTTACAAACAATCTTATTCACTCATCTTGTTAATTTAACTATCCAACTATGTTCGTATTTTATTAAGGAAAAATACGTTTTCAAATGCATAATGTACAGTTTTTCGTACTTGGAAAAACATTCATCTTTCATTTTGCTTGATAAAACTTTTCATCAAGTTTCGAATAAAGAATAAACAATATATAGACTAGCTACTGATTCGATCAATAAAGTTGAACGTTTACTATCTTGCTTTCAATCCATACTCTCTAGTTAATTAATTCAATAATGAAAAAAATTATTTTTCGAATTTTCTTTATACTTCATTGATGTATCATCTGACTTATTTTAACTCAATTGCAAGATAATTATAAAAAAAACCATCGTCGATAAGGTGAATCGTTGAATATTTTTTATTCTCTGCATTATAAGAAGCGTCTTCAACAAGAAAACTGCTATTCAACCAAGTTAGCTTAGTTTGATTCTATTTGAAATATTCACTAAGATTTTGAATTGTTTGTATTTTTGTATTTTTTAATAGTTGTTATTAAATAGATTATGTAAAAATGTCTTCAAGATTATCTAACGAAATTTGATTCCAATTGTAATTAGACATAATTGAAAACATGTCTAATTTTCTAAAGTATGTTTTTCGAAAAATCCGGATTGTATTTTCTTTTTAAAGATTATAGAACTGAAATAATCCAGCATTTCTTTTGCAAAAATTAAGTGTGCCTTTTTTCAGAGAGTCAATTTAGGTTCATTTCAATTCTTGATCAAATTACTAAAATTAATAGTATGAAGCAAATTATTTGTTTACAAGGAATTATTTTATGCAACGTTTGTTCTGATGTTTTTAGATTCAATCATCCTACATCAATAAAACCACAGATAATTAATAAATCTTCAATCATATATTTACATATGAACAGATAATCATAAACTATTTCGAACCTGCTATCTTGTCTAAGATAAATTGAAATACTGAAACAATCCACCTTATGTATCAAAATCTCTTATTTTTTTTACAATTGCTGCGTGAAAAATAATCTTAATGTGGAATGAGTACTAAACAATTCTATCCTCAAGTTTACTCATTAGAATGTATTTTGATGACATAGCTATCGACAATGCTCTCAGACGATGCTTCATTATTAGAAACATTCTAGTATTATGTATTTTGATGATAATTGTATCTAGTAATCATAGTAGTTATGACAAATTAGTCACTATGCTAGTAATTAAGACGAAATTAGTCATATGGATGATATTCATTTCCGTAAGCTTTCTGTTCGATACTCTTGGTTGTGCCAATCAACTGCATAACCCAACACGTTGAACAATCGCATCTTTAATAATCACTGAAAGTGTTCTGTTTAAGTATTGAATGTTTGTAGAAGTCTCTCGACATAATACTATTTTTTGTTATGCTTTGAATTACAAATAAACTTCAATCAGTAAGCAAAATTTCAGTAAATCGTTTAATGTACTTTTTAGAATAAGCCCTCCACTTGATGAACAATAATTTTTTTATTTGATCTACTGGAATGATGTGTACTACTTATACGAATATTTTTATAAAAAAAAACATTTTTATTACATATTATTTATTGATTGCTATTGCAAAAATAAATAAAAAAACAAATAAAACAAAACTGATGTTGCTGTTAAAAGAATGAATCAACCGGTATTATTTCCTTTTATCTTAGAGTTCTAAAGCGAAGAAAAACAACTGATTATATATATTTTTAATATTGAGTATCAGTGAAAATTTACCTTTGCTATTTTAGTTGATTTTTCACTAATATATTGAATTTTAAGGCGTGGGTGGTATTCTTCATCGCCAGCATTTTTTATATATAGCGTTGTGGCAAAACAAAGATCATTTAGATGAAACTTCTTTTTCATTGTATCGACTTTTTCATATTTCATTGTATTAGCTTTCCCATCTAATTAAACAACATACGTATGTCAAAGATGGATTTAAAATTTTCTTCACATACTCGACTTTAATGACTGGAAAGGTTTCATTGACTCTTTTAACAGTTCGTTGTCTAAAAGATTTATAACAGTCAGATAAAGCCTAAAATTCAGTATCACAGAAAAAGAAATATGGAATTTTTTGAAAATATACTTTATGTTCAGTGTTCCGTTGACTTCTGTGAGATTTCCCTTGGGATCGTTCAACTTTTCATAACCCTCATCGTATCCAAGACATAAAGACATTGGATTAAATAAAGAATAAGTTCCATCCTTTTTAGGTTTGTAAAACTTAAAATATGGATGAATATAAATACATTCATCGATAGGCACTGTTACTATGCAAATTTCTACTTTAATACGATGAAGATCAACAGGATTTTCACCGAATACAAGCATTGATGGAATCTAAAATAGATTTTCTAGTAAATATTTTTCTTAAAGAAAATAACAAACCAATAATGTGAGACAATGTTTATTGTTTCTATCAGGAAAATACGTGGGACTACTTTGTTTAGATTTTGTTTTACCATCACGTTTGTATGTGTTCTTCGGTATATACTGAGTTAAATAGCGAGCACGAAATTTTTGTGTAGGTTCAGTTTGAAATCTTATTTGTTGTTGATTTTGTTTGTTATGAGAGTTTGTTGCATCTCCTAGTTGATATTGTTCTATGGGCGTTGTATGAGATACTAAAATTTTTTTAAATAATATTGATAAAGAGATTTTTCTCAAAGTTATACTTACAATCCAAAATCGAAGAAAAATCTGTTTGAAGAAACTCTTCAGCGTTGAGTGGTGACTTATTGTTCTTACCTAAGAAGATATGTTGGTAAATATTTTGCAAAAAAACTAGTAGTCAATATACCTAATACATGTATTGTATTAGTGGAAGGAATCTGACAGGAATTTATCGACGATTGAGTACCAACTAAAAAGAAACAAATGGACGAATGTAAGAGAAACTTAATTTAATCGTTTTAGCGTGCTTGAGCATAAAAATCTTAAATGTGCTATTACTGTCATTTGTTTGAGTCAAGATTATAGCATGTAATGAGTATATTATTTAAAACTTTTCTGACATACTTTTTAAATCTTTATTTCGAGCAATCATATGACTCACTTTATGTTACATACTTCTATCAATGATTCTTCTTTTATAATAATTTTCTTCAAAGCCTAAATATACGCCAAAAAAATTCGTGTATTTTCAAGACTAATTATTTTATAATGTAGCAATACTATCTCAAATACTATTTTCATAAAAAAAAATTATCGAAATGCTACTAAAATAAAGGAACAGTATAACAAACCATTATTTTTCTTCAAAATTGATGAAGCCAATATATTTGTAGTTTCGCCCATAGTTAAATCGTCGTCATTTTCTAAATTATATTTCAATAAAAAAAGCATCCAAATAACAAAATAAACTCTGCCTTACCTCCTCGTTTTCGTTTCTTTGATAAATTTTTGGTACCAGTCATGGTTATTAAGTTGGTTGGTTCAACAAACTGTTTGGAAGCTATAACAAATAGATAAAAACTAAGAACAAGATTACACTTATGCCATTGGCTTACATTTTTCATGAAGCTGCATTACAAGTTTGTCAATATCTGTCTTATTGTTGGATGATATCAATTTATAATCTATAATTAAATAAACCATCGGTGCTTCATTCTTTATTTCGAATTCATAGTTTTCTTACTAGGATACTCTTTTGAAATGAAGTCATATATAAGTTTCTTTACTTCCTCATCATTGGAATCAAAAATTGAATGTTCGTCATTTGAATTATTTCCAATACGTAGATGTAATGATTCATAATGATCATTATTAAGAATAATATAACAACATTTTTTAAATGATGTTTGATTTGAAGGAAGTTCAGAAATAGATACATATGATTGTTGAGGATCAACCCTTATAACACGAACATTTGTCTCATACAATTCAGCTACAGCTAGAATTTCTGGTTGACCACCCCATGCAGTAGTTTTTTCCATCTTATCACAATATTGATCAACAGTTTTCTTGGTTGTATTTAATAACCAATCTTCATCAATTTTACCCGGTTGACGATTAAAATCAGCAACTTGCTTACGTAAATCTTTAATGGTAATTTTATCGGCAATATCCAATACGTTGCAAAGAGATGAAAAAAGGCAATCACCGCCACCAAGAGCATCTTTTCGAACAAATTTTTGTGTTATTCCCAATGAATCTCTTGATGTTTCTGTTGGTATGTGATCGTCTATTTTAGAAGCAGAATTAAAAATAAATAAAAACTTGTTATGTTTTTTTTCCAAAAAAGTAATCCTTGTTTGGAATTTGCTCTGCTAATATTATTATTTCATATGAGAAAACCATTAAACTAAGACTTATCTCTTATTTGCTTTAGAGGCCAACATGATTATATTCATTTTATATCTTTTAGATGAGTAATTAAGAAAGAACAAAGTAATCAAATAAGTTAACAATCACACAATATATTTTAATTGTATGTTTATATATTAACTAGTGTAAAAGACTCAAAATTACATTCATTAAAAATTAAATCAAGTTACAACGAATCTAATTTAGTTAGGAAAACGAGATTTTGTGTATGTGAAATATTAAAATGTATAAAAACATTTAGCAAACCTGTATTTGTATTCGATACTGATGATGAAAAGATCTTTGTTGCATTTGTTATAGACGAACTCTCGCCGTCCTCTATTTAATACATTATAGAGAATAAAGTTCAAAACGAAATCAATTTAAAATTGTTTTTCTGTACCTGATGCTTGTTCTGTATTCATAATACTATTATCAGCAGATAAATCAGATGGAATATCATCTTCCACTAAAATTCACAAAAAGATAAAAATATCAAACAGAAAATATTTTACTTACTGTTTTCGTTTGATATTATTTCAGGTCGATTGATGACACTTGTATCTTCGAAATCAACATAGTCATTATCTATATTTAAAGAAAACAGAATGATTCTGTCTTTTGTCAGTTCAATTTTTTCCTTACATTTAAGTTCTTCTTGAATAAAGTTTCGAACAAGAAGTCTCATCCTATTGTCTTTATATTTAAAATTGCTTTTTTCTTCTTCCTCATTCCTTTTATTGTATAAATATAAAGGTCTATAATGACCAACTATACCATCATAATATATAAAAACACATTTCTTGTACGATGAAATGTCGTCAACATATTTTAACACATCTATAACAACTTTTTCAGGTCCACATTCGGTTCTTGAAATAATACAGAGTAAATATTTTGGATACAAAGATGCCAAAACTTGAAGTATTGGTGAGCCATCCAATGTAGCACCTTGTTTGATTTTATCCCAATATTCTTCTTGAGTTTTATATTGTGCTTCAGATAAGAAACTATCAACGTTTACATATTTTGATTGAAGTATATGACTAGCCACCTTTTCATGTAAAGTTTCAGGAGAAATAAAATCCACACGATCAGATCCATTGAGAACAGACGAATACAAACTTAATCCATCTTTACGATTAACTTCTGCAAGACGAAACTCATATAATGGTTCAAATGCATTGTTGTTGATGTTCCTTAACTTTTGATTTACTAAAACAGATAGTACATGTATTTTTTCTATAAAACAGAAACATGAACTTTCTATTCTAACGATTTTGTTTGCTCTATGCCGATCATCTTTTTGGTGTCTATTATAAAAAGACTAAGAACTTCAAATAAAAACTTTTTCAGAAGTCAATCGACGCTGAACAACACTAAAGTAAAAACTTCGATGCACATTATAGTGCTGTCATTATGATGATGGTAGTGTTCTGACGACAAGTTTTCAGCCGCAATGAATGTATCTGATAAACATACAATTATGATATAGTAGATGTTGAATTTAATGAAAATCTTTTTATTCGAGAAAAACTTATGGTATTGCACTCTCAATAACCTATATAAAATTTAAAAATTGAATTTAACTCGCATAAAATTAAATCAATGTGATACAATTATTTTCATTTCGAACAAGAAAAGTAACTCCATTTTAATTTCAGTCACTGAAATCAATCTTATGAATTTCTAGAATATTGAATTTTAGTAAAATTTCTATTTCTTTTCATATCATCTTTGCTATGTGAAAATGAAAAACTTCGAAAAACAACAAAATTCGTAGTTTTATTTTACCTAATTGGTGGTTGTTTTTTATTTGAAGTAATTCATTCAATGCTTGATCGTATGCAACTAAAATTATTGCAAAAACAAAACTCATCTAACAGAAGAATTGTATTTAATAATTTTTTCACCTTGATTTTCAAGTGATAGTCCATTTAATAAATGTTTAACAAATTGACTTTCTTCTATTGTTGGAGACAAATCTAATTGTGACAAATCATCAAGATTATCTCCTTTTAGAAACTCGTCATCTTCTGTGAATATATCTTCCATGATATTTGACGACAATTGAATGTTAACAATCAAACAGCACGGAAATTTATAGAAAGAGAAAAGAAAGCTGATTTTTTTCAACAAGAAAAAAGTCAACTTTACTTTCAATACGATTGGTGATTTACAGAACCAATTGTTTGATCTCTGGTAACCTCTATCATTTACACTCAATAGCAAAGTGCCACAAGATCATGCTTAGAATCGGTTTTGTATATTGAAAAATATTTCGACAAATTCATTTCTCAAAATTCGTATAGATTAATGACGAACGGCTACTTTTTCTCATTCGTCATCATACATAACAAGAAACGAAATTCCTTTAAGAACTGTTTAAACATCATATGATCAGGAGCCTCCTCATTAGAAAACTTTTTTTTTTACTCATAGTAATCTTTGAAGTATGAATTGTTTGACGAATGAGAAAATGATTTGTTTTGTTTATTCTAAAAATCAGGCTAGATGCGTATCATCTAGTCCAAAGTGATTCTTGGTTCAATGGAGAATCAAATGACTCGACTAGTTAAAGTCTTTACCAATCTAGAGTGAAATCAATACCAACTTAGTCTACGTTCTCCTCCAAGTTCAGCTTTATTAAATTGAGTTGTTGTTTTTTCTTATGCTTGTACTCTTTATTTGATAACTTAAGCGCTCATAAATGACACTATGCTATGATAAAGACTTCGTTTTTTCATGTACTTTGTACAAATTTAGTCATGTCATCGTCTGCGTTAATCATTTTCTTTCTTCTTCAACTTAAGTCATTCTCGAATAGCTCCTTGAATTGGTTTCAGCTCAAAAAAAGTACATTGAAGATAAATATAAATGATTAGAGAGTTCATGTCTTAAGAATTATTTCAACAAACAATTTCTAATCTGAATACATAAGTATTGATTCTCGGCGAGATTACAAACATATAAATAATTGAAAATGTAAGAATATTCAAATGTTAGAATAAACAAATCTTGAAAATTTATGATTTAATCGACTTTAAATTCATCTTTTCATCATCTGTTTTGTTGAGCAACAATTGATTTCTTTTCTTTCTTGTTTCAAATCATATTGTTTTAAACATACCATCTCTTGAACAAAATTAACAGATCGCCAAGTTATAAATCTCAATTTCGATAAAGAAAATTCGGAACTTAGTTATTTAACGTTTGAATACATATTTGGTCCATTTTTTTATTCAGCTATATTTTGCTTTATTAGCACTTTTAGTGAAAATTATTAATAATGTAGTTGCTTTGCTACTTCAATCTCACTTATAGTCGTATTAAGATCCTCGAGCTCATTATTCATGGTTGAGTCTCATTGAGTTTAACATTTTACTATTATGATGAGAAAAAATTCCTTCTTTATCTCATAACTTACTTTATCTGGGGGAAATTGTTTATTCAAACTTCTTTTAGTAATACAGTCTGTTCAATTCAGTTTGAAAATGCCTTAAATTCAAGCGAATATGTACTGTTAATAGTTTCTAAGCTCTCTAGTATATTATGATTACAGTAGCATAATGAAGATGCAGTAATTGGTGAAAAGAGTTGATTTTGAAGTGATAATCAAACGTGTAAAAGCTTGAATGTAGTAAACTATAACAACTTGGAAATATTTAGAAACCTAGAATTTGTTCGAGTAAGTTGTAAAATTTCGATCTTTTATGTGCCACTTCGCAATACTTGACAACTCTGAGCGATGCATTGTTGTGTGTAAGCATCCATTTTATATGCGGTTTACCATGACGATGCCACTACTGATGACATGTGCTTGGGTTGGTCGCAATATTTCGATGAATTCCACATACAGACTAGTTTTTGTGAGGAAAACGAGAAGTGTACATCGATAGACAATGATTTTCTCTATCGATTAGTGTTAATCATAGATGGTCACCAAAAGTGAATCAAAGTTAATAGAATCACTTCGTATAGAAGGTATGAGTCAATCAAATACTAGTCTATGCTTTATATGATATGAAAAAAAGCACTTTGCTTCTTTGTAACATTATAATTTAGAAGTTGATCATGTTTGTCTTTTTATGATTAGTTAAATAAGTTAGCCAGGCAAGACTAGCTTGTAATGTATAATGTACATATCATAATTGAGTACTCTGTCTGTCAGGTGTTCATAAAAAAAACAAACGAAAAGAATCACCACCAAAGCAAAAACACTGATATAGGTCAGCGAAAGAAAAATGGCGATTTTCATATTGATGATATTTATTCCGATGAATCTTCTTCTCTATAATGCTCATTATGGCAATGAGATACATAGTATTATTCATGTAACAATCATTTCCATAAAAATCACTTCAAGGTTATTGTTAACGAATCCGATTCTTTTCAGAAATCCGTTGACAAAATTCTTGTTCCTAGCATGTTTCGTGTTACAATGATGTTTACTTATTACTATGAACAAAATAAAAAGCACAAAAAAATAATATTGCATTCATATTGATTATAAAAGAATAACTGAACCGGTATATCTATTTTCTTTTTTGCTTTGAATTAAAACAGAACACAAACAAAAAAACTGTTTATATATATATATATATGTTTATTGTTGATTTTCAGTAAGACTAAGTTGCGGTTGCCCAGTTGAGATCTCGCTAATATACTGAAGATGAACATGTCGTTGGTATTCTTCTTTGTCATCTTGTTTTATCCATAACGTGATAGCAAAACGAAGATCATATAAATGAAACTTCTTTTTCATAACATCTGATTTATTGTATATTGTTGTATCAGCTATGCCGTCTAATAAAACAGCTTAGAAAAAGAATGAGTTAAAACTTTCCTTCACATACTCGATTCTAATGATTCGAAAGGTTGTAATGGCTTTCCTAGTTTTTCTAGATCGTTGTTAAGAATATGTATGACCGCCAGATAGAGACTAAAATTTAGTGTAAGAGAAAAAGAAATATGAATTATTTTTAAAACATACTCCATATTCAGTATTCCATTGATTTCTGTCAGATTTCCGTTGATATTGGTCAGGTTTTCATAATCCGTATCATATCCAAGATGTATAAATATTGGATTAGACACAGAGTATTCTCGACCTTTTTCAGGTTTGTAAAATTTATAATATGGATGAATATAAATACATCTATTGATAGTTCGTGTCACAATGCAAATTTCTACTTTGACACGATGAAGATCAATTGGATCTTGACCGAATACAAGCATTTTCGGTATCTAAAATAGATATTCTAATAAATAAATTTTGTTTTTATTTGAATAACAAACCAATAATGTGAGAGAATGTCTTTTGTTATTATTGTTTTCATCGTGTCGATCAGCAAAATAAGTCGGACATCTTCGTTGAGATTTCGTTTTACCATCACGTTTATATTCATTCTTTGGTTCATAATCACTTAGAGTACGAGTACGAAAGTGTTTTGCAGGATGAATTTTAAATTGTATTTGAGGAAAATCTGTTTGAAAAAGTTCTTTAATGTTGTATAGCAAATTATTATTTGCATCTAAGAAGATTTAATATATCTTGTGAACTATTTTCAAAATAAATAATGATCAACTTACCTAATACATGTATGCTATCACTTAGCGGAATTAGACAAGACTCTGTCGACGATTGAATATTGACTATAAAAAAGAAAGCCAAATAAATTTAAGAGTAATTGTATTTAACCGTTTTAATATGTTGAAAAAGAAAATATTTGAATCTGTAATTTATTCTTCTAGTCAAGTCTATATCATTGAATGAAAATGAAATAAATTTTTTTAAAAATGTTTCTTAAATTTTTATTTCAACGATTGATATAACTGTCTGTTTCTATGAATATTTCAATGGATGAATTTGTTTTTATATTATACAATCTCAAATTTTATTCTCCTAATGAACTATTGTCGAAATGTTAGTAGAATATACGATAAGTGTAACCAACCTTCATTTGTGCTCAAATTTGATGATGACAATTTCTTTGTAGTTTTTGCTATGGACGAATTGCCGTCATCTTCTATTTCATATAAAAGAAAGATATCAAACCAATTAAATGAAATCGTTTTTACTTGGTAACTTTCGTTTCTTTGTTAATTTTTTTGTATCATGCGCTCTAATTAAATTGACTGATTCAGGAAGTTTGTCGAAAGCTAAAACAAATACATAAATATTAGAAACAAGATTATATTCAGATCATTTATTAACATTTTTCGACTGGTTGTACTGGAAGTTCATCACCATTTATTTTATTGTCGCATGATTCCAATTTATACGCTATAATTAAATAAAAAATAATTGCTTTATTTCTTCGATAAAATTCATAGTTATCTTACTAGGAAATTCTTTTTCAATAAAATCACATATAAGTTCTTTTATTTTCTTATCATTAGAATTAAAAATAACACGTTCGCCATTTGAATTATTTCCATTACGTAAATGTAATGATTCATAATGTTTATTTTGACGAATAATATAACAACATCTGTCAAATGACGTTTTCTTTGAAGGAAATTCACTAATAGATACACGTGGTGGTTGAGAATGAACGTCTACAACACGAATTATTGTTTCATAAGATTCAGCTATGGCTTCAATTTCCGGGTGACCACCCCATGCGTTGGTATCTCTAATTGCAGAACAATATTGATCGCGAGACTTTCCGGTTTCATACAATAAACATTGTTCGTCAATCTTATGCGATTGACTAATAACTTCGGCAGCTTTGTTACGTAAATCTTCAATGGTAATCTTCTTGGAACAATCTAGTACATTGCTAAGAGATGAAAATAGACAATTACCATCAGCAGGAACAGGTTTTCGAAAAAACTCTTGTGTTGTTTCTGATGTACTTATCAACGTTACTGTTGATGAGAGATTGCCTATTATATAAATAAAATTAAGATTAACTTGAAACTTGTTATGTATCTTGCATAAACGCATGGTATTCGTTGAAGATTTACTCTACTGATATGATTTCATGTGAAAAACAAGAGAACTAAGACTATTATCTCTCATTTGTGTTAGGGCTTTAAATAATAATATT